CTTTGCTATGAAAATTTCCTGTTAGAGTTCTATATTATTAATAATTTACGCTAAATCTAGGATATTTTGTCGCTTTCGCAAAAATGTAAGATTTCCGCAAAGTTGGTAAAACTTGAATTATATTCAAGTACCACTATTCAAGTACTATTCAAGTATCTATCCAAGTACTATCCAAGTACTATCCAAGTACTATCCAAATACTATCCAAATACTATCCAAATACTATCCAAATACTATCAAATGCTATCCAAGTACTATCCAAATACTATCCAAGTACTATCCAAATACTATCCAAGTACTATCCAACTACGTAATACTAATATATAGGTCATATCTTTTAGCACCGTATTACTGTATTACTGTGTGTATGATTGATGTCAAAAAAAAAAAACTTTCAAAACTTTCAAAATTATTAATTATAATATCATAACACTTGTAAACACACTGAGAACACTGTGGACACTGTGTCGGTTATTAAGTATAATTAGAGAATCTATGTTCAATATTTAAAAGATTTATTACATAAAGAGATACGTACAGTACAAACAATTTGTGAACGTGTATTCTTTGGACCAAATAATTTACAGAAAAAAACTATATATATATATGTATATATGTAAAAAAGGTTCTAAATTTGAATAGGTACAAATAAGGGAATGTATATCAATGATTTATCTATAGAAGCCCATACTACTAGATATAAAAATAATGAAAATAAAAAAAAATAGGTCGCCATACAAAAAAAAAAAAAAAAAAAAGAAAAAATATTTTACAAATTCTCTCTGTTCTATCTATATATGTAAACAAAGGCTTTTGTTTGATTTAATGCTATAATGTGTGAAAATGAAATTTGTGAATGTGTTGTGTGTTTTATGTGTTTGAACGAATAAATGCTTATAGTAACAATATATATGATTCATAAAAGATATTTTTTTCTATTGATTATTTTCTGGAATTTTTTGCCGTGGCTTCAGTTCCTTTTGCATGCCCACTATAACCATTTCGTCTTGTACCTTTTCTTACGGTTGTAGAAAGGGAAGCAAGTCCTTCAGTAGTAGTTCCAATAGTATTAGTTACAGCAGCGGTTAATTTTGCACCACGACCTAATCTTTTCAATATTTTTCCTTCAACTAATTTACTTTTAAGTTTATCAACTAATTCTTTTAATTCATTATTTTCAGCTCTCATTTCTTCTAATTGTCTTGTTAATACATTATTTTCGGCAATTAATTCATTAATTTGTGTACTCATTTCTTGATTTTGTTTATGTTTTTTTGCGCGATATTTTGCTGATGCTACTTTATTTCTCTCACGACGTTCAGAAAGTGAGAGAGGTGTAACAGTTCCTGATGTAGCTAAAGTTTGCATATAAGAACTTTGTTCATCTAATTGAATTGGTGTGATCGGTGTAGGTGAAGAAGGAGTTGAAGGATATCCATGATATGATTGAACTCGAGGAATTGTTGGACCTGGATTGGGTGATGTTAAAGGAGTTGGTAATGTAAGTTTAAAAGAATCAACTTCCATTGCAGGATTGGTAGGTTTGTAGAGCGCAGAAATTCTCATACATTGTTGTGAGATTTGTTGTTGTGAAATTGGTTGTGAAATTGGAGGTGGAAGTTGAGTGTATCCACCAACATGATGATGATGATGATGATGATGATGTGATCCTAGCTGAGGACTTGTATGACGACTATGATATTGCATCAATGTAGAGTTTGTAGGTTCAGTAGGTGAAGGTGTTCTACTACAACCAACAGGAGAAGAATGATTGCTTCCAGATCGTTGTACAGGTTCAGTTAATAATAAGTCTTGTAAAGTTAACCTTCGGGAGCTTTCCGAAGCGTTTCCATGGTATGAATCAAGATGCCCAGCATCAATAGCGGATGTTGTTAAAGTAGACATTTTATCGGATTTTATCAGATTTTTAAAGATTTTATGTGTAAGATTTTCAAAGGTTATTAAATTCTTTTTAATCGCTTTGTTTTGAAAATATTTTCAAAAGGATTTCAGAGGAAAAAAAAATAAAAAATAAAATTATATTTTTTTTTATTATTACAATTGAAAGTACAAGTTCAGTTTGTTTTACCTGCGACGAAGGGGTCCTTTTATAAAAAAAACAACGCGAGGAAATATCTAAATATCACATAATAATCTCATCACACATCAATTTCTTTTTAGGAAGACAAGAATATCTAGAATATCGATTTTAAAATAATAGTATAAATAACTAAACAGTTATATTCACAATATGTACTCTAAATTATAATATATTCGGACTTCGGAATTTATTTTGTTTTATAAACGATAAAGTAATTTTAATAATTTGTTACTGTGACAGTTGAGAATTTTGTGGCTAAGTGGCTAGTGCTAGTGTTAACGAAAAATGTTAACATGTTTATGATACCCCTGAAAAATGGAATAAATGGAATAATTGTTATTTGTAAAATATTGTATTCAACCATGTAAATATTTAGTACGTACGTACGTAGAATATTTGATGTCGTCAATTTTTTTTTGTTTTAAAGAACTTAAAAAGAATTGGTTAAGTTTCGTTCTTTGTTAAAAATAACTTTTTTTTTTCAATACCTAAAACAATTAATAGAATGCCATATACGTCACTACAATATTAGAAAGCAACAAGTTAGGTTATAAGTCACATTTTTTAGAAGGACATTTAGAAATACATTTTGGAAATACATTTAAAAATACATTTTTGATAAACTCAAGAAATATACTTTAGATATATTTTAGATAAATAATACACTTTAGATTACTTTAGATAGTTATAGAATACTAAATATTTACCAAATTGTTATGCCAAAAATTTTATGATTATACCAAATTTTAAAAGCATACATATATATATACGCATACATATATATATACGCATATATACATATATACATATAACAACAATACTTCTTAATTAACATCTTTTGACTTTATAAAAAGTAATATTGGTATATAAGCAACAACCTATGGCATCATATTCGGATAATGACCCTTGAAATAATGCATACAATGAAAAAAAAAAACCTGAAACATAAAAACTACGATATTTATTATTTACACAGTTACAATGCTGATCTGTTAGACCCTATGTCAAAGATCACGGCAAGCCAAAATATCTATCTATCTATATCTTTTTTCAACCTAAAATGTATGACGATTTGGTTCCCGGCACAAGGAACGTGGTAGGATCGATTCAGTGCCACGTTTCCAATTTAATTCATTCTGAAACATTTATCCTTTTGTAAAAGAGTCTAATACACCCGTTTATGGTTTATTGAACCACGGAACTAACGGAGCTATGTAGTTGAAATTTTATAAATCTATAATAAATCTATAATACGTAAATTAATACGTAAATAAATCTATAATAAATCTATAATACGTAAATTAATACGTAAATAAATCTATAATACGTAAATCTATAATAAATTCTATAAATTCTATAAATTTCAAAGATTAGATTTATTAGATTTTCCGACAATATGTGATTTTTCTTGTCTTGGAAATTGTATACATTGAATATCAATCAGTTAGTAACTTCCTTTGCATACGCAAGTATTGCATTATTTACTGACAATGGGGTATTCTTGCATTGACTTCTTTACCTTCTTTATAAAAACCTTAAATTTCATAATACCATTATTATATCATTAGTTTCGATAAAACTTTGGCGTAAACCATGTCTTTGTAATGTTTGAAACACATCACTTTCAAACATTACTCTGTAAGTAATTCATTACTTAGCTAAGTAATTAATGCTTCTTGTAAATCAAATTTACCCAAAGTTTATTGTTTATGAATGCGCACGTTTTTTTTTCAATTTCCTCGAGGTATTAACAAAAATAGGTGAATTAACTCGTGTTCACCCTTAAAGGTTGTTTCGAAAATTTGCGGATCACACGTGTTATGTAAATAGTAAATTATTACTATTTATTAACCCATGTTCTGAATGTTCTGAAACAGTGGTACCATCTAATAACAATGAAATTAATGATCTACTTTTTTTTATTAATAACTTTTTTTTTTTTTTTTTCTTGGAATGAGTCATTGTACTTTTATGTACGTACGTACGTGAAAAACAAAAGAATGTTTTTGAATGGGTTGTTATTTTTAAATATGATACTTGAAAAACAAAAGAATGTTTTTGAATGGGTTGTTATTTTTAAATATGATACTTGAAAAACAAAGATTATGTTTTAAAATTATGAAATTATGACATATTTATTTAACATTTATTATTATTTTATTTAACATTTATTATTTGGCATTTATTATTTAATTTTGAATAATGGTAATAATTGTTCTCAAGGGTTTTGATTGCATCAAGCTTTACAATATTTACAATACGTATCGATATTTTTTGCGAAATTAATCACAGAATTTACAGAATTAGGAGATCCATTCCGAACCGTCGTACAACCTTGGGAATCCGTTTGACTGTTTGCCTGTACGTCTCAAACAATGTTCGTTTACCCCTACAGTTTCATTAACCTTAATTTTATACCATGAATTTTACGACATTCCACTACATTTTTTTTTTCCCACTCGTCTATGTATCCGAATTTATTCTCTAACTTTATTATCGATTTTTATTGATTATTATTATCATCGATTATTATTGATTATTATTGATTATTATTGATTATTATTGATTTTTATTGATTATTACGTATTGATAATTAACGATTCTTATTGATTCTCAGAGAATCTTAATCTCGCAATACGTACTGTTAAATGATTCGCTCATTAATATATTTAAATGAGTTCCCCATCATCAGTGGCTACCATTTGTAACGTTAAAAACTTTACCTTACAATTATGTAATATTCAATACTTAAGACTCTATATTTAGTACTTAATACTCGATACTTAATATTCTATATTTAGTATTTAATACTCGATGCTTAATATTCTATATTTAGTATTTAATACTCGATACTTAATACTCAATACGTACTTTATACTCGATATTTAATACTCAATACGTACTTAATACTCGATATTTACTTAATAGGTAAACATGTTGGGGTTATCGATAAACTCTAATAGAGTTTCAAATGCATAATCACACGCATTTATTATGTATAATCCATGGTATCTAAAATTTAATGCATACATATAATCTAATATTATCAAATAGGGAAAAAAAAAGATTTCCTAAGGACATTTCGTAAATTTCTATACGTACGTATCCAATAATTATTTAATTATTATTTGTTTACGTGTTATTATGTAGTTTATATGTATAATTATTTAGTACATAACTTTATTAATTCTTAATAATTTTTTTGTTTTTTTTATGTTACGAAATAAATTTACCTAAATAATTAATAAAATTATATTACAACAAGGACCCTGACAAAAATAAATGCGCAAAAAACAATCATTATTAATATTGATCTTAAAAGAGAACAGACAGGCTATCGATTACTAATTATATATCATTATATATAAAAATTGTATGCAATTATATACAATTATATCCTATTATATACAATTATATACGCGTGTATATACGAATTATAAAAAAATACTATGTTTCTATAACTTTTAGATAACTTCTATATCACTTTATATAATAATTCTATGTAATTCTATGTGGTTTTGTTATAAATTCGTGCAACATTGAAAGCGTGAACAATTTTTTTTTTTACCTTCATTCATAAACCCATTCAGAGATAAGCACATTCGGCCGGTGCATACCGAGTAATCGAATCTTATTACCTGAGAATACCATTCATCAAAAGACAAAATTTAT